CAGCCAACAGCTATCCTCTTCAGAAAGATCTTATTTGACCTGACCTGACTTTCCCCAATGTACATACATTTGTTAAAAAATCTGAAGTGAATACATGTATACCGTGCAAGTACCTAGGGGTACTACTCCTGTACTTCCAGCCCTCTTCATGTCCAAGGGGGCCTTAAAAAAATGGTGTCAAATGGCAGCCTACCCCCTCCAGCCTCCTGTGCTTTGATATTGTCTTATTATGCTGGATGGCATCATTGGCCCCTAAGAAGGTGTGTTGGCGGACTGGCTTCCAACACTACCCGTAAGTGCTGAATATTGTAGATTAGAATTCTGCAGATGTTTGGAATTTATAGGCTCATTTGAAGAGGCCTGGAGGTACAGGATTGCACCTTATCTCTGCGTTCACTTTAGATTTTTGTTCCTGATAGGTTTACTTTCAATACAGCTTAGTCACTGATAAACTGATGCAATGGATTTGGATACATACAGCATGTCAACAATGGTCACAAAATGCATGCATTTGCTACTTTTTAAAGGAGAACTATGAGGTGAGTGCTTTTCACTCATCAAAGTTCTAGCTGACCTGTGACAATGAGACTGTCACAAGTCGGCTCAGTAGATCGGGAAGTGAGTGAACATATGCCAGCGTTCGCTCACTTCCCAATCCTGTCACGGCTCTCTGCCGTGACAGGGGAGGGACTGGATTCCCCCCTCCCCGTTCCGATCCGCCAGCGCTGACTGGCTGAACGGACGTGGGAGGGGGCAGGTACAGCTGGCTCTGCCTCTAGATAGGTAGAGCCAGCTGTCACTCACGCAGCGGGGCGGATCCTGACATAATTGTCGGGATCCGCTTCACCTGTGGCGTCTCAGTATATGGCGAGCTGTAGCTCGCGGTATACTGAGCTTAGGGTGACGGGAGGATGCTAGTTTGTGTCCTCCCGTTACCCTAAGGAGAACTATGGGGGAAAGCCCTAACCCCATAGTTCTCCTTTAAATTAATCCCTGTGTCACTATGGAGCTCTTTGAATCTTAGACCCAGTTTCTACACAGAGCCTCGTCTTCTATCCAAGTCAAGGGCATTGCCCTCTCCTTTCACAATGTGCATCAGTCATTCAACTTTCTAATCCCTGAGTCTCTACTACCCACTGAGGCTGTGGCATTGGACTTTGAATGTTAGTAAGTAGTGCTTAGCACTGGGAGAGGTGCAGTTTAAAGTCACCTTAGAGAAGTTAAGGACCTCTGCATTTTCTGGGCCTAGTATCCAAAGGACTTCACAGAAATCAATTTAAATGCTATGTATTTGGTGCCATCTAATATGACATTTTCCCTCTTTAGCAGGGACCAGTAATGTGGTGCAACGTATACTTGATATTTTGAAGTTTCTCTGGGTCCTCTTCCTTGCCATGTTGGAAGGATTGATAGACTGGCTGGGCAAACTAACCAAACAGTATGTGGACATGTCCACTGTTTTGTGGATTGAAAGATACATTCTGACACAAAAACTATCCAAGGTAAGATGAAATTTGTATTTTTCTATATTTTATCAATACTAAGTTTACTAACAGACTATTTGGGGTTTTACTTTTAAAGAGGATCTGAACTGTGAAAACTGTGTCGAAAAAAGGCAATCCGTGGCAACGTATTAGTCACCAGTATTACCTGTTGGCTCCCTGCAGCTTTTTTCCATTACTGACTTACCATGCCTTGTTCTGCATTGCGTCTCTGCATGGAGACTGCCATTTGGATAGAGGAACATGGCATAGCTTTCTCATGTCAGAGCTACCTCCCTGATGACTGGTCTTCTGAAAGCTGGTGGGGTAATGGTTATGAAACAGCAGGAGGGACGAAGGAAGCACCGATCCACAGAATGAATATAGCAGAAGCAGGGGTATCCTTGCACTGCAGGTTCTAGAGTAAAGCTTCCTTTCCAGCAAGGAGAACAATAAGCAGCACAGAAGTGACATAAATCCCCAAAACTTAGGTCTTTAATCATGCTGCTTAGGCACAATTAACACTTCTATATGTTCCCATAAGATAGCGAATAGTCACTTTCTGAATTCATGTCCACTTTAACTGGAGGAATCCCAGCAAACCTCTGGAGTATTTGCCTTCCCTATAGGACTGAAGTCTGCCAGTATGCACTAGTTGCTCAGCTAGTTCAGCCCATAAAACAAAGATAATCTACATTTAAAGGATCTTAATCCATGGGATTGCTATTTAAAATGCAGCAAGGGGATAGTGTTTTTAAAATTAATAAAGCATTTTCTTTTCTATTATGTTCCGGACACCCAACAAATGGAGTCATTGTCATTCACACTTTAAATCACTACGTACCTACCTGTGACTACTTGATTGTATAATTGTGAAGCTGTAACTAAATGGTATGCATGGATTATGCAGTTAATTAAAGCTTGAGCATGCTACATAAGTTGTAGGTGGTGGATGGGATTATATGGATGGAGGGTATGCTTTTAGCAAATAGGTAGTTCATGGTGCTGTGATTTTTATGACTATTTTAAACTTGTAAACACTTAATATCATTTTAATAACTGTATTGTGTGGTGGTTCCCTTAAAACTGTTTCTCTTTTACGCAAAACCTAAACAAAAAAATAAAGTTGACCCAATGGCATAATAGATTTCCTTCAGGAGGATAACCACAGCCCCTTGCCTTCAAGAGAAGATAGTTGATAGTGATTTTAGTAACGGGATTATGTTATTGATAGTAACATTTATTATAATTTTTTTGTTTTTGTTTTATATAGGGGGAGGATGTGACTGAAAAGGATCTGATTAACTTCTATGAGAATGGGCCGGACAGAGAAGTAGCAGGTCCTTCTACAGTACCTGCTGAACAAACTCTGGACAAAGGCGTGGATTCACATACCAGCATGGGTTCGAGGTAGGTGATTAGATAACGTTGGAATGAGGCCTATCTACCCTTGTCTGTTTTCAGGAGGCAATACTCATGCATTTTGCTGAATGAAAATGCAATACAAGTAAAAATCTCATTCTTTCCTATGTGGCTGGTTCACATCTGTGTGCTGCAGTTTTTAGTATGAAAGGGAAAGGTAAACTTTACTGGCCCATTCACATGTTCCATGTGTTACCTGCATGCACATGGAACAATGTAAATCCAGAAAAGAAAGAAAGCAAGCCAATGTGTCTGAGAACTCTGCCTACCATGCCTGGGACGTCTTTATTTCCTCCAGACCTTGCTGTAGCAAGCCTTTGAGATGTTATAGATCTTTTCCTCAAGCTTTATACAGTTGTCTTAGAAATGTAAAAAGCCTGACAAGGAATCTAAAGAATGCCAAAAGCTTGCATCTCTAATAACTTAAGTTGGCCTATAAAGTTGTAACACTTAAAGTGACACTAAACTCAGGAGTTAAATCTTAAAAATGCTATTAAGCACCTTAATTATTAACAAAAATGTATCTTATTTGTGTATCACTCGGCTGTAGATCCTCAAATCATCTCTGAATTGGTGCTGACACTGTCCTACCTTCTGGAGGGTGGCTACTTTTGTTCCCTATGGTCCCTGCGTGTTGTAAAGTAGCCACCGCTCCAACCTCGTTCCCGTAATAGACTTCAACTTCAGTACAAATTAGCTAACTAAACATGAGATTGTAGTCCATCACAGGAGTAAGCTTAGAGCGGTGGCTACTTTACAACACACACAGGGGCCACGGGGAACAGAAGTAGCCACCTTCCAGAAGGAAGGGCAGTGTCAGCACCAATTCAGTGATGATTTGAGGATCTACAGCCGAGTGATACACAAATAGGATACATTTTTGTTAATAATTAAGATACTTGAATGCATTTTTAAGATTTAACTCCTGAGTTTAGTGTCACTTTTAAGTGATACAACTTTATCGGCCAACTTAAGTTATTAGAGATGCAAGCTTTCTGGAAGGTGGCTACTTTTGTTCCTCATGGTCCATGTGTGTGTTGTAAAGTAGTCACCGCTCCAAGCTCACTCCTGTGATGGACTACAATCTCATGTTTAGTTAGCTAATTTGTATTGAAGTTGAAGTCTATCACAGGAGTGAGCTTGGAGCAGTGGCTACTTTACAACACATAGGGAACAAAAGTAGCCACCCTCCAGAAGGTAGGACAGTGTCAGCACCAATTCAGAAATTATTTGAGGATCTACGGCCGAGTGATACACAAATAAGATACATTTTTGGTAATAATCAAGGTACTTTAATGTATTTTTAAGCTTGAGCTCATGAGTTTAGTGTCACTTTAACCCCTTCGTGACGGGAGACGTACATTGTACGTCCAGCCACAAAGGGACCAAATGACTCATCACGTACACTGTTATTTGCTGCTTTAGAGGGCTGGTAACCGCTGAGAATCAGCTTTTACCATTCATTAATGGATGCCATTAGTACAGAGGCATTCATTAATGAAAGGGTTAACCTTTTTCAGACACCCGATATCTTAATATCGGGTGTCTGAGAGTCAAAGCAGAGCCACATTCTGACAGCTTGTATAGATCTAGAGATATCTCTCTCAGATCCTATACTGGCTTTTTTTTTTTTCTTTCACTTTCAGGAATAGATACATAATGTATCTATTCCTGAAAGAAGAATGTTTCAGTTTGCTGATCGTTGTTGGAACGTTCAGAAAACCTTAGTGACAGCTGAATCCTGAACTGCTGCAGGATCAGTGTCACTAACTTATTATTGGCTGTTCTGGAGTTTGAAACAGCCTAATAATAACCAAAAATGTATTAATTTATCAAGCAGTAATAGTGAGATTAATTCACAATGACTGTTTGATTTAATTAAATAAATAAAAAGTGAAAAGTGTAAAAAAAATAAAAATAGTGAAAAGTGTAAAGAAAAAAAAAGTGTAAAAAAATAAAGGACAAATAAATGAATGTATTTATTGCATTTTTTTTTTTTTAGCTGTGCTGGTTTTGTAAAAAATACTACAAATCAAAACTGGGAAAAAAGTGTTTTTTTAAGTTTTTTCCTCTTTTTTTTATATTTTATGTGTCCTAAGTGAGGCGTTAGACACACATATGTGATATAAATATGTAGCCCTATCTGTCCTCTAAAAAACAATGTATAATATGTGTGGGTGCACTTTGTAAGAAAGTATATTACTGACGTGGAAGAATCACACAGCAAAAATGTCAAAAGTGTGTCAGTCATTTACGAACAGAAACTAAAAACAAGCTCAGTCATGAAGGGGTTAAATCCCAGACTCTTTACACGCACAGGAGGATAATGTAAGATCGGTTATCTGTGGCCCAGAGATGTTCTCTTTATCCAATCCAGATAGGTTCCTTGGGCTGCTCTGTAGAGAGCTGCAAGATGTGTGTGGTACCCTAAATGGAATTTATTGTTGGCCATACATCCCATCATCCTAACTGTCAGTTTTCAACCTAAGGTCTGAATGTCTTTTTGCACACTCAAGATTCTATTTCTTTATTTACACCTCCTGCCTGGAACCGATCTCGAATAAAATATAGACAACGGAGACTGAGATACATATGAGAGTCCTATGTCATTCCTCTTGTTTTCTGCAGCGGCTGCGAGGAGGAAGAGGGGCTTACCAGTAGGGTGGAATATGCCGACATAATAACTCCGCTCACTACTGGCTACAACACCCACAGTAGTAGCATGGAGCAGATTTCCACCACTATGAGCTGGGAGGAGGTGTCCTCGGGAAAAGAGTCCCCGGAGGTTCAGCCAACAAAGCGCTCCCGTACTGCCAGTGAATTATTAGTAATGAGGTAAGTAGCCTTATGAAAAAGGTTATCGCCATAATGTATGATAGCCTTATAGTTTTCAAGTCTTGTGTCAGGAGAGTAAAAAAAAAAAAAAAAGCTTATGCATTTCCTGTGGAAAGGAACAATCCATCTGCTAAACCTTTTTTTAGGAACCACAGCAGCCAATAGATTTCAGCTTGCTGTAGCCAGTTTTCTACAAATTCATTCTGATTTGGATAGATTACAGTACTTTGCTGTTTGCTCTACTGAATAACTACAGTATTTAAAGGAAACCTATACTGAGTGAAATACATGGGCTGCCATTGCCGAACTCCTAAGATTGCTAGGTGGTTGGCTGTCTATGGCTTAGGTGCTTCCTGAATTACAGTAATACCTTGGTTTACGAGCATAATTCGTTCCGGAAGCATGCTTGTAATCCAAAGCGCTTTTATATCAAAGCGTATTTCCCCATAGGAAATAATGGAAATTCAGATGATTCATTCCTCAACCCAAAAATATTCATATAAAAATGATTACAATACTGTACTGTAAGGGGGACTGGTGTGTTGTGAGCGGGACAAGAGAGAGGAGGATTATTGTGTAGGACGACTTTCACTAACGGAATCACTGTTATCTCTTGACTCAATGGAATCTTTTTCATTTCGTTCAAGGAATCTATTCAATGTGACATCGCTCGCACTGCTACAGCCTTATTCGGGTGGCGCTTGTCTACAAAATTTTGCTCTTAATGCAAGACATTGCTTGTATATCAATGCAAAATTTTTCAGAAATGTGTGCTTGTCTTGCAAAACACTCTCAAACCAAGTTACTTGTAAACCAAGGTATTACTGTACTGGCAAACGGATTAGAAACTCAGAACTCTTGCATGCTCATTCGTGGTCAGTTGCTCAGAAACTACTGAAGCCTTTGGATGGGCATGACAACCAGGCAACAAGCATTGTTCAGCTGAAGAAGCAGTCTTCATATTTTTTGGGTACAGGTTTCTTTTAGGGATTCTTCTGTGTACATTATAGTGGCTAGCAAGATTGCCAGAAATGAAGCTGTGTATATTTCCCCTGCTCTGTTATGTCATTACAGGCCATTGATCTACCCAGAACTCTGCGAATCAAGTATTTTCCTCAGGTCACGGAGCATCCCAGAGAGGTTGTTGTTAGCACTGTTCCACTTCTTGGCTGCCCATTCAGAGTTGCTATGTTACTTTATGATCATCTTGAACAACATGGCGAGCGCCTCGCTCATCTCCCTCTTCCTTCCCATCCTAGTCTTTCTGTGGGCAATGCTATCTATCCACCGGCCAAGCAAGAAATTCTGGATGACAGCCATTGTGTTTACTGAGGTAAGCCATGAGCACACATGAATTTGTATGTTAGAAAAAGTAGATTTTAGGCTTAATTCACACAGTTTGAAAGGGGAACTTTAGTGCATGTTTGAAAATTTGGCAGCAGGTAGCTTTACATCAAAGTTACTGTGTATGTCTCTTCTGCAATAAACTTTCCCCTTCTACTAAATATACAATGAGCCATGCTTGTGTGGCTCAGTGTACATTGTTGGCATGCCTTGGTGTTGGGATTAATTAATTCCCAAGTGCATGTGTGAGTTCGTAATCCCAGACCAGCCAGGCTCAAGGATGCTCAACACAAAAGAGGACTGGGAGAAGATGAAATCGCTGGTGAGGGAGCTTGCATGTCTGAAGGGAAAGTTCCTGCTTCTGAAAACCATTTCTCCAGTTACCCAGCCAGCGCAGAGGCTTGGGGCAGGAAGTGTGCAGTGGGGCAGGGTTACCTTTTAGGCTGGCTCAAAATTTATGATTGGTCTGCCCTCCTTCCGCTATACACTGAGCCTTTAACTTTCCAAAGTCCAACAAGATAAAGGTTTTGGGACAATTATCCTATTGTAAGCCTCTTCTTTCTACCAAGCACCTGCTTTTATGCTGAATTAATGAAAAGAATGCAGATCAAACTCATGATATAGAATTTACTTTTTATATGCGTTATTTTGTCTTTATATGTACATGCCTAAAGTGCAGCCCTCACGTGTGCCATGTTGTACTCTTCCTCCTGCAGATAATGGTGATGATGAAATACCTCTGTCAGTTCAGCTTCTTCCCATGGAATAGCGACACGGTTCTTGTACGTTATGAGGGGAAACCATTCTTCCCTCCGCGCATCCTCGGGGTGGAGAAAAGTGATGCTTACATTAAATATGATCTGGTCCAGCTACTGACCCTCTTCTTCCACCGATCTCTGCTCATGGTAAGCTGTTTTTCCTTACAGCAATGGGTATCTGACAATATAGGTTTTACATTGTATTCTTTTCCTTTATCTCACAAATGACAAAAGTCTCGCCTTTCCACCTGGGAATTTTGGGTGTTCCCACCAACCTTTGTGTGTCTCAGCTCCTCTTGTTTCATTCTTCATAATATTAAGCAAAGAAGTTCAAAAAGAAGAGTGGGAACTGCCCATAATAGCTACAGAAGGTGTGCAGACCGAGCAACTCAAGTGCAGAAGTCTCCACTATAAAGTTCCTCAAAGATATATACTGTATGAACTCGTTGGGTAGTTTAATTCTGCAATTTCTGCCAAAAAGTAAAAATTGTAATTTGGGTGAAATTTAAGTTTGCTTCAAGATGTCATTTAGCTGATAGGTATTCTCTGTCTTTTCAGAGTTATGGATTGTGGGGTCAGGAACATATGGACCCTGTACAGAAACCACAGAAAGAGAAAAAGCAAAGCGAGCCTGAAATAGAGCCTGAAATAGAGCTCTCCACCACTATAGACACCAAAGGGAGCTCCAGTTCTCTGATTCGTCAGCGCAAGAGGAGAGAGTCGCAGACCAGCGAGACTGACAAGGGTGAGAATATTTCTAGACATATTTTTTTTTGCAGGGCACTTAAAAAGGTATTTATTGAAGAGATGGTACCAGATTCACGATCAAGCAGATGAATTGTAATATCTGTCAGAAGGCAAGATGAGAAGCTTGCCTTTTTGTAAGCTGATATTGTGCAGTAGTTGCCCAGTCATATTTGTCTCATGACAGGTTTCCTTTAAAGCAAAACCCAATTTAAAGGAGAACTATGGGGTTAGGGTTTTCCCCATAGTTCTCCTAAGGGTAACGGGAAGACACAAACCAGCGTCCTCCCATCGCCCAAAGCTCAGTATACCGCGAGCTACAGCTCGCGGTATACTGAGACGCCGGAACGGATCCCGACAATTATGTCTGGATCCACCCAGCTGCGTGAGTGACAGCTGGCTCTGTCTATCTAGAGGCAGAGCCAGCTGTACCCGCCCCCTCCTCGGTCCGTTCCGCCAGTCAGCTCTGGAGGATCGGACAGGGGAGGGGGGGAATCCATTCCCTCCACTGTCACGGCTCTCTGCTGGCACAGGATCGAGAAGTGAGCGAGCGCCGGTATGTGTTCACTCACTTCCTGATCTACTGAGCCGACCTGTGACAGTTTCATTGTCATAGGTCGGCTAGAACTATGAGGATGAGTGAAAATCACTCCCCTCATAGTTCTCCTTTAAAAAAACAAAAAACATTGTCTATTAGTTTTATTACAAAAAACAACTTTCACTGCAATACTAACCTCCTCCCTGGCACTGCCCCCACCACAGATTCACTGCTCTCAGCTGCTGCTTCTCTTCACGAGTGAATGACGCCCAGCATCATCCAAACCGCCTTCTGTGAGCCCAGGCTGTCAGTGACACAGCCGCCTGTCTCGCCTGGTGGGAGATTCATTATGTAGCCTAGGCTCACAGAACTCTTAGACTAAATGGCACTCTGACATTATTATGTGAGCACTGCTCAGTTCAGGGAGAGTAGAGGGAAGCTGAAGTTCTACTTTAAAGTGGGTATTTAGGAAAAGTTAAAATCCTCTGTTTGAATGGAATCCCTCATCGCACTAACATAAGAGGCCACACCTGCTACAGTCTCTATGTAAACAGCTGGACCCGCTCTGGCCGTTTACAATGACTAGTGGACTGTAATACAGCAAGGGCTGATGCATAAGACCGCGTGTGGCTGCACAATGTGAACTCCATGGGGAGAGTTTATCAATACTGGAGCAGCTGTGCATGGCGTGCTGGTGACATCTATCCATTATGTACTGAGTGGCGGCGCCATCCGCGGCCACTGCGAGCACACTCCCTCATCCAATTTTTTGTTTTTCTTTCCGGTTAGCAGTGCGATAAGCAGTAGCGTAACAATCGCCATAGCGACCCAGGCGGCCGCTATGGGCTCCCGGTCCAGGGCATCCCTCTGATGCTGTGTGGGTCGCTATGGCATATCAGGGTGCTGGCTGTCACTGGCGGCTGTGAGGAGGAACGCGCCGCTGTTAGATCACCGACAACCTGTCAGTGATGTGTGCAGCGGCGCGTTACTCCTCACAGCCGCTGCTGAGCTGTGTCAGTGACAGCCAGCAGCTGCTGCAGAAGAGGCTGGACCCAGCGTTTACAATGAAAGAGGAGGCGGGGCCCGGCGACCTAAGAGCAGGAGGGGCCAGTGAAGAGGAGACAAGGCCCATCGATAGAAAAGGAGGCGGGGCCCGGCGACCACGGAGGCGGACAGTGCTGACATGTAAGAGGGGTGCAGCCCACCTGAGACCCTGCATAGCCCAGCTTAGACATTCTATGGCGGGCTCTGCAGGGTCACTCTCAGGTGGGCTGTTTGGTATGTCAGGTGGGCTCTGCAAGGGGCATAACTAGAAATCAAAGGACCCCTGGCGATAAGGTATCTTTTTCGTTTGTTCATATGCATGTGTGTTCACACATGTCCAGTGTATACCAAGCGTGCAGCCATTGATTGGTAAGGGAAGCTGTACACAGCTCTTGTGGTTCCCTGGCAGGGAAAATGTGCCGGCTATGTTGTGCGGCCACAGTCTGCCATGAGCATTCCATTACCAAATTTCTCCAGGAGATGGAGAGTCATAGAAAATGATGCTTTCGGAGCGGAAATCCTTCACATTATTACATGGATGGAATCCAGACAAACCAATATTTCCATTTTCTCAGAAACCCCCTTTAGGAGGTGAGGTTTATATCATTATACTTTAGATTATAGATGATGTGTTTAGTATTATTGTCTTCATTCTTCCTCTAGTCTTAGATGCAGGAAAAGAGAAACCTCAAGATTCAGAGAAGAAGAAGAAAAAGAGGAAACCCGCTGCTGTCAGAATGAAGATGATTGGTTTGAAAGTGGAAACAGTCTTCAGTCGCATGTAAGAACATAAAAGGCTAAATTCTGTTCCACCCTAAACTGGTATGGGTGCAGGCAGAGTGTTGTGCGCTCCAGTGGAGCAATTTCTGCTCCAGAGTCGCCAAATTCTGCAAATATTGCAGTTGTTATCAGGTAGTCTCACCCTCCATGTTGAATTTGTCAATAATGTTACGGTATGGACACTGTAGCACAGAATTGTATTTTTTTACAGCTGGAAGTGTTAAACGCTATCATGGGGGAGGCCGAGATGGTAAATCATAATCACATTGCTCCCGAAAGTGCCAAATTACTGACTGGTAGAAATGAGTTATATCCACACACACCCTGTTTTATAATTGTGTACTTAATGAGAACTGTCTATGATGCCCATTTACCAATCGGAAACCAGTAATATCCACACATACCTTCCTTCATCAGCATGTGCAACATAAGGACTGCCTATGATACCCATTCACCAATCAGAAACCAGTAATATCCACACATACCTTCCTTCATCAGCATATGCAACATAAGGATTTCCTATGATGCCCAATTACCAATCAGAAACCAGTAATATCCACACATACCTTCCTTCATCAGCATATGCAACATAAGGATTTCCTATGATGCCCAATTACCAATCAGAAACCAGTAATATCCACACATACCTTCCTTCATCAGCATGTGCAACATAAGGACTGCTTATGATGCCCAATTACCAATCAGAAACCTATTATGAAATAAAGATAGAGGCTGCCATTTCAGACTTCTTCTGAAAATGCTGGTTGCCTGGCCCTCTTGCTGACCTGTAGCAAGTATGCAGATAGTGACAATTATTTTCACCTGAGTTTAATGAGATTTGAAAATGACAACCATGTTGCATAAAATAAAGATCCCTATGCTAAAACTTTGTGAGTTGAGCCTATGATGTGTCTCTTGCAGGGCCAAAGGAGTGTACAACCCTGTGAAATCATTCTTCCATGACATCTTTCACACTCCATATCGAGCAGCGACAGATGTTTATGCTCTGATGTTCCTCGCAGATGTGGTGGACTTTGTGATCATTGTCTTTGGCTTCTGGGCCTTTGGGGTAAGTGGCCTAGGGGCTAGAAAAGAAGTGCAACCAGACATATAGGGCAGGTTAAAAAGAAATGCTTCGGTGATAGATGATGGATTGTAAGCTCCTCTGGGGAGTGTATAATGTTTTCTGTTAAGCTCCGAATATTATGTCAGTGCTGTTTGAATATAGTACACAAGAGATATCCTTTTCCCAAGTATCATCGATAATTCCTATGTTCCTTGTATTAGAAACACTCAGCGGCTGCCGACATCACATCATCGCTGTCTGACGATCAGGTCCCTGAAGCCTTCCTGGTTATGCTCCTCATCCAGTTCTCCACCATGGTAATAGACCGTGCTTTGTACCTCCGTAAAACTGTGCTGGGGAAGCTGATTTTCCAGGTGATATTGGTGATTGGAATTCACGTCTGGATGTTTTTCATCCTTCCAGCGGTAACTGAAAGGTAAGAAAGAGCAGAGGACAAGGGACATTGACAATCTTTGACTGTGTTCTATTTATAAGGATGAACTAGAGGTCCAGCACTAACATCTTTCCCTTTTCCCCATCTGCAGGATGTTCAGCCAGAACACGGTGGCTCAGCTGTGGTATTTTGTCAAGTGTATCTACTTTGCTTTGTCGGCCTATCAGATCCGCTGTGGATACCCAACCCGTATTCTGGGCAATTTCCTGACCAAGAAGTACAACCACGTTAACCTCTTCCTCTTCCAGGGGTGAGAAGCTAGTGGTGTCTGAGATCGTGTCTGTGGATAGTTTAGCCCTCACATTCAGTATTATTGGAATGAATGACATCATCATAAAGCAGATTAAATGACTGTTGTAGTGTGAGAGAAATTATTGTACAATTGGGGAGCTTGAAGGGGACTATGGTACTATATCTTATGTAGAATTATTGTTTTATATGTGATTGAATCAGTCACAGGGCAGCCTAGGCAGGAGCATGGGGCTCCATGCGTATCCAGCTACAATTTTAATTCTGGTGCTGATGGGAAGGTGATTTACCAGTACAGATAATGCAAATGGGTCAGCTTCTCTGTCTGTTGTAATCTTTATTAATAGGAATCGAGGATGGTGGGGCAAAGCTGTAACTCTACCTAGGGCCCTATTCTAGTTTGAATACAGGTTTGCACTACATCTCTAAAGGACTCTGGTGCTGACATGTACCCCTGCCAGAGTGCCAGGTTTTGGCCTCCCTGACCATGGTCTCTTTCCTTCTGTTGCAGCACCAACAGAAGTCATTTCTGTAATATAAATATAGAATAAAAATCAAATAGTAACTGTAACTGATTTCCTTATAATGACTGCAGGTGGGGTGAGCTGGAAATTGATATCTCACTCCCAGATTGGTCATAGACCTTACCACCACAGTCTTCAAAAAGCCTGTAAGTGATTCAACCACCTGTACACAAGAATGGAATACAAATTGCATTGGAGTGTGCATTTCATTTGCATTCCAGTTATAAATGACTGTTGAACAACAGAATTCTTGTATATGTGGGTTTAGTTTGTCATTGTTGATGGTTCTGATCTGATTTGGATAGTATCCTTGTGTTGCAGTTTCCGCCTGGTCCCATTCCTGGTGGAGCTGAGAGCCGTCATGGACTGGGTATGGACCGATACGACCCTTTCCCTGTCCAACTGGATGTGCGTGGAGGACATATATGCCAACATCTTTATCATTAAGTGTAGCCGGGAGGCAGAGAAGGTAGGACCATACAGTACCTTTTATTATTCTCATTTTGCTATGAAGGACCTTTCAAAGTAAAATACTTTCTGTGTGTATGCAAAGACTTACTGCAGCATTCTTATATAAGTGGGAGAAGAATTAATTCTCTCACCAAGGAAGAGAGGTATGTACACTACCTGCCTTAAGTCCTAATGTCACTCTACATTTGCAGTTCATTAGATTGCTGTGTACAGAGGCTTATAAAGTTTGTTTTCAGACTTCCCTTCATGCTTTGCTTCTATCCAGAGGCTGTGCTGTGCAATCATTTATCCTGTGCACATAGGGGATCCTTCTTCTATTTAAAAGAATTGAAGAGTGAAATGCACTTATCTCCATACTTAGAGTCGATCCGTGACACTGAAGCTGATAACATGCATCACATCACATACAGCTGATCGCTCCGTTTATGATCTTCTTCCTGCAGGGAGTGGTGACTGTCATATACGTGCAGGGATCCCCCCCTCCCCTCTCTGTTCCTCCAGCTCTGACTGGAGGGACAGACAGAGGCAGGGGTGGGCACAGCTGGTTTTGACTCTAGAGAGGCAGAGCCACCTGTCAATCAGGCAGCAGGGTGGATCCCGACAATACTGTCGGGATCTTTCCCGGCTGCAGAGTGGCTCTGCCCTACATTGCCCTCTATATGCTGAGTTTTGGATCACAGGAGGACATTGGTAAATGTCTTCCGGTGACCCTACAGAGAACTATGTCCAAAAAAGGTTGGGCCATAGTTCTCCTTTTAAAGACATTTATTAGAACCATACGTCTCACATTTTTCCACGCTCCCACATCCATGTTTTTGCAACTGAATGAAATCAAGAGGTATGAAAATTATCCAGTAGAGGGAGCTCTCTCTGGAAACTCTGCTTCTTAACCCCTTCGTGACGGGAGACGTACAGTGTACGTCCTGTCACTTTGTGCCTATATGACTGGCCACTAAACGTTAGAATAAAATAAAAAGAGACCGAATCTATTACATAAACTCTGTCCTACAACTGCTCCTCATGCCCAGAGGTGATTGAAGCCTAGATGCCTAGCATAATTTAGCAAGGCTAGTGCGCTTTATTTCTAAAGTTACTGCCTGGGTGATCGTCCACAATGCTGATGCTGTGATGGCTGAGGGACCATGGCAGTTGTCTGTCCACAATGCCGATGTTGTGATGGCTGAGGGACCATGGGAGTTGTCTGTCCACAATGCTGATGCTGTGATGGCTGGAGGACCATGGGAGTTGTCTGTCCACAATGCCGATGCTGTGATGGCTGAGGGACCATGGGAGTTGTCTGTCCCCAATGCTGATGCTGTGATGGCTGGAGGACCATGGGAGTTGTCTGTCCACAATGCTGATGCGGTGATGGCTGAAGGACCATGGGAGTTGTCTGTCCACAATGCTGATGCTGTGATGGCTGAGGGACCATGGGAGTTGTCTGTTTCATGTCCTTATCACATTGCTGTCTCTGTTACAGAAATATCCTCAGCCCAAAGGTCAGAAGAAAAAGAAGATGGTGAAATACGGGATGGGTGGCCTGATTATAGTCTTCCTAATCTGCATCATTTGGTTCCCTTTGCTCTTTATGTCCTTGGTACGCTCTGTTGTGGGAGTGGTTAACCATCCTATTGATGTGACCGTGACTTTCAAGCTGGGAGGATACGAGGTAAGTAGAACTATAGCTGGTTTTTATAACTGTTAGCGTTTCTTCAGCATCCATATCAACTGTGTGTATCTTCTTCTAGCCTCTGTTCACCATGAGTGCCCAGCAGCAATCCATTCAGCCGTTCACCCAGCAACAATACGAGGATCTCACCTATGAATTTGAAAGACACCCAGTAAGTACATGATGCAGAACGAGAGGGGAGGCACATTGGCTGATGTTCAGCCAGAGCTTTAACCACTGCTTAGAAGACAAACACTCCTTCCTTATCAAGTTCAGTTATGGAGTGGCACATGAGCTGCAAAGTTTTCGTGTTTTTTTAATTTGACCATTGTAGTCCTAGAGTGTTGACACTATCCCTACGTTAACCCCGCACTATGGCTTCCTGTAATCCTCACACTATGCCTTGCTGAAACCTTTCCCCATGACTCTAACCCCATCTTTCCCCATAACCAGGGGCGTATCTGCCACAAGGCAAACAAGGCGTTTGCCTGGAGCGGCAGATTCGCTGAGGGCGGCGATGCTGCCTTGCCTAGGGCAAAGCTGCACATCCCCCCCGGACTGACCCATCCGATTCTCGGCCGGGAGACGAGCAGAGACACAAGGTAAGTCTATGGACGCGTGCACCCGCCTGCAGACACCGATGGATCGGAGAGCCGCCGCACCGCTGGAGGGACACATGAAAACATGGGGAAAGAAGAGGAAGATCAGAATAAGAGACATCATTTGAGGTAAGTGCTAACATTAACATGGGGAGAGGGAAAAAAATTTCGGCTTTAATGTCACTTTAACCTCGCGTTTGCATACTCCCCTATAGTGCCCAAGGCTTTTGACTTTGATTGATTTGACTCTGTGCCAGGGGATTACATTGTGACAAATGTATCAGCATTTGACTTGACGAATGTTATGTTCTGTCTCTTTGTAGACAGCTATGCAGTTCATCAGTCTGTACAGTTATGAGGACATTGTAACGGCACGAATAGAGGGCAACTCTGGATCTATATGGGGGATTAGTCCTCCAAGTCGGGACCAGATGAGGGATGAGCTAAGGAATGGATCTTCAGATATTACACTTCGATTAACTTGGAACTTCCACAGGTGAGAAGTATCTGTTTGGTAAATGGGCTGCTCAGTTTATGGCATTGTACCTTCTCCCATGCAGCATACATAAGGCAGTGGAGCAGTGCCTGGTTACAATGCGCATATAGTGTAGGACACATTGGCAACCATTACTATTTAATTTGAACATATAATAATGGCGAAGAAATACATTTACAGCATACAGTCACTAAACTAAGCTTTGTGTTTGGCTATTTCAGGGACTTGTCCAAAGGGGGCACGGTTGAAAACACATTTGAGAAGCACACTAAGGACTTGGACCCAGGAAGTGAGGTGCGGATGCAACTGGCTGATCTTCTGGAAGGGAAGCGTTCAACCCCAGTGTGAGTGCAATCTGCTGCCCTCTACTTATTCTTTTATCTGTCCTATACATATTGTATCTGGTCAGGGTGAGTGACAACCCTGCGGGTCATTGCACATTCTACAAGATATTTATCAGCTAATCAGTTAGGAGGACTCATGACAGCCCTGAGAAATGGTGACTATGAGTTGCCTCAAAATCAAACACACCCAACCTTACCCAACCTACACTGATGGAGGAACCCCTGGCCAGAACAGACCAGATGACTGCTATGGGGGCCAGTTCAGACTGGCTGGTAAAACATTTGTCACACCAGTAATAACATTCGGTAACTAATGCTAATTAAATGGCTTTGCACGAGCCAAATCAAAGCCATCAGACCGATATGTTTGTAATAAGCGTGATGCAATTTTAATTTCTTGTTATAAAATTACTTGGTGGTAATGCTGCTTTTAAAAAGAAAGGTTGGAAAGCCAAGAGACCTATGAAAGGTTTTCTACAGGGACCCTATGAAAGGTTTTCTACGGGGACTCTATGAAAGGTTTTCTACGGGGACCCTATGAAAGGTGTTCTACGGGGACCCTATGAAAGGTTTTCTACGGGGACCCTATGAAAGGTGTTCTACGGGGACCCTATGAAAGGTGTTCTACAGGAGCCCATCATATATATATTTTGCCAGTGGGAGAACATGTACGTTCTCACATATGTCCGATCCTATTAAATTCTGCAGAATTCGGCAACAAAATGTTCAGGACGTCTAGGCTGCATATCGATGTAGCAAAACCTAAACACTGAAACTTTGTAAATGATCCTTGGTTACTGATTTTGAGTTATTTTGGGGTCATGTTAGGTCCCATCTTCTTACCAGCCAAGTCCTGGTCTTCATAAAGGTTAAAGTGTATCTAAATAGTTTTAGTTTTAAAGAGAAGGGAATTGTTAAAACCCCGTCAGTTGTTCTGTGTTATCAGTGTTTCATTGACACAACAGGAAGTAAGAGGAATTCTCCTTTTGAGGGAAATCCCCTTTTAGAGAGTTGTCTTCAGAAAAATGTCCCCACTGCAGCATTTCCCCGGTATTCCTCTGAAGGTGGCTGCTCACAATTGTGGATCTTGTCTCACTTTCAGGCCCAGTGACAGAACATATAAAGTGGGTGAATCTCCCAGGTGGAGACAGACGGCAATACAAATCTGACAGAGGTTCTACCCCTTACTGTATCCAAAACTTTAGAAAAAGGTTTGGCTTCAGATACTGACCTTTACAGTGACATTCAGGTTGCTGCAAGGCAGCAGAGACTGTCACACTCGACTGTCCCACCAATAGGCAAGCAGCATGGCATAGCACAGGACTAGCGTGTTGTCACATACAGCCTTCATCATTGAAAGGCCCAATCAGCACCCCTCGATTTCCATTTAGAGCATTTCATTTATTTTTAAAGTGCAATTCAGCTTTCAGATCTTCAAGGTGCAAGGTATTATGGGTATGGCAGTGCTGGTCATGTGATTCTGTTTGTTTTTACAGCTGTGTCTCACACTTATTCCCAAAATACATTCGTGCCCCCAATGGTCCAGATGCCCTCCCTGTGAAACAGTTACAGCCAGGTAAGATTATAATCTCATCATTTCACTTTTTTTCTCCCATTTTGGACTGTTTTTGTCTAGACCTAAAAGTGCTGTACAGGATCTAGACTGGCATCTCTCAATCCAGCCAAGCAACATTCTAATTAGGGATGCACCAATCGGTATGTATTTTTCTCAGTACTCTCCGATACTGAATACCGATACCGGTGCTGTTTGCCCGATGATCAGGAAGCTGGGCGGCGGGTCATGCTTCCTTATTGCCTGGGAAGCCGGTGTTCTGCTGAAAGAATACCAGCTGCACTTCCCGAGACTGCCTGGCTTCCTGACCAATCACGAAGCCAGGCAGTAGGTCATGAGGTGCTGCCTGGCAACAAGTGAAGCCGGCTTCCTAGCTAATCAGGAAAGGAAGCTGCCTCCATGCTCCATCGGCACTGCCGATCACAGGGAGATCACTTCTGACCGTAAGTTCTGGTATCTGAGGTAAGTATCAGAGCATTTGGGCAAGTTCGAGTACTGGCCCAAATACTCGTATACGGCGCATCCCTACATGTTCTCAAAGGACAAACCAATTGGACTGGTTAGGCAACCTTGTACAGAACCCAATAGCAACCACTTCTCAGTTTACCTTGGTCAGATAAATGGACATTTCTGATTGGATGCTGTGGTTTCTTGCAATTTTTGGTTTGGAATTTGGAATCTTAGGTTTAATAAAACAGCAGAATATTATTTCAAAGTAAATGAGCCGCACTTATTATACCAACTACTAGTTCTCTTGCTTTTGTTCGTAATTTGGCAGCAGCAGCAGCTTTGAATTTTGTGTCCAACACCCTTTTAAAATGTTGTTTGGACCCTCCCCTTATACTGCAGTATGCTTGCTGATAGCACAGCATGAGCAGAGAAGGGGAAGCTAGTGTTGCATCATGGGAACTGATTTTTTTTTCCTGGTTTAGGCCTGCTAAGCTATGACATAAAAGCGGGGAGTGGCCTCAAGTTACCACATGTCCTTCTCATGTGCCACAATGGGAGGTAGGGAGTATTGTAAACCATAACAAACTTGCTTGAAGAGGACTTGAACTGTGCATGCTGTGCCAGAGGGCAAATGACTGCACACAAGTATTGCCTGTAGGCTTCCTGATCATATAAAATCATCCAAAGCATTTCGGGGAAAAACACTCCATCAGGGCTGAACACAGGATACTTTTGGGTGGGCACAGATCTATATATAGATATATATATATTAAAACAGATATTAAACTCTCCTCCATGGAGTAACAGCTGCTGAGTATAGATTATTGCCAGGGGCATCTCTAATTTTTTGCCATTTGAGGATGGGGAGTGCGGCGTTTCCCAGGTTGCTAAGAGATGTGTATGGCGCTGGCCGGAAAGGTGGTGGGAGGCACACTGCAAACATTGTGCAGCAGATTGGCCATGCCGCTCTGCCTGCTGCCCCCTAACGAGATGCCATCTGAGGCCACAGCCTCATTGTAGGGACGGCCCTGACTATTGCAGCGCGGCAGCTGTTTTTATATGACCGTACTCCATAGTGGCTCATGTACAGCCCTAGCTATAGGAATGAATAAGGCCACAGCACACATGCACAGTTGGCATCTGGCTTTGCTATGGAAAGGCTGTGGCACCAGGCAGAGCCACACAGTGCAGAGTAGGGCTGAAGAGAAGTATTTTACTATGGAGTTTACACAGAGGGGGAAAGTGTTTGTGAAAACCCTTTTAGTGCCCATTACAGGGACTCCCTTCCTTGTGTACTGTAGGGTCACATTATTTTCTTTGCCCATACATGTGTTATAATGCTGTTATTGTCTTTGTGTTGGGCAGATGAGGAAGAGAGTTACCTCAATGTGACGGTTCAGTTGAATCGTAAACGTATAGGACATGGAAGTGACAGCAGCTTCTTGGAGTGGTGGGTGATTTGCCTGGAAGGCTGCAAGAAAGACTGTGACATCCTCCCCATGGTCATATTTAATGACAAAGTCAGTCCCCCAAGTCTGGGCTTCCTGGCAGGATATGGGTGAGTACTCATTGTCTACCCAAACCTCATTTGTTAGCAATTTCCTATACACTCTGCTGGGTACACACATTTACAATGGTCGGTGCCCCACTTTTATAAGCTGCTGGTTTCTCATCCTTTTTGTCAGAATTGCAGAATGATGTTGTTTGGTACATAATGTTTTCATGGGACCAAACCTTATTTCACACACATGTGATTGTTGGAACCATGGGGACCCCCAAACATTTGGGTTGTTGTTTTTTTTTTTTATTTTTTTTTTTTTATATAATCTGGGTTTAGATGTACAGTGTTCAGTAGGGATGCACCGATAACGGTACTAGTATCGATATCGGTGCCGATACAGAGTATTTGGGCGAGTACAATGCCTAGCCCGATACTTCCTGTATCAGGAAGCCAGGTAGTGAGTCATTACACGCTGCCCGGTTTCCTGATTGGCCGGCTGGGTACTGGAGGCTGGCCGCATTCTGGCTGGAGAGGCCCCGAGGTGACAGGCTGGACATACCAAGGTAAAGGTGGCCATACACTGTACAACCATCGCAAGACCTTAGTCTTGCGATGGTTGTACAGGGATTAAGAAAACGTACGATCTGCCCATCTTGGACAGGCAGATCGCACTCTCGATCATCGCAAACCCGCCCCCCTGAGGGGCGGGCTTCCGATGACCGCAATGCTGAACGGGCAGTGTGCGCGTGCGCACACCGGCCCGTTCAGCATTACGGTCGCACGTCTCTGTTCACACTGCTCGATTCTCCCGTGATTCTCGTACGAGAATCGAGCAGTGTATGGGCACCTTAAGAGGGGACAGATTTTCTTGTTAATCAGGAAGCCGGGTGGCAAGTCTTTACATGCTGCCCAGCTAATCAAGAAGCCAGGTGGCGAGTCATTACCCACCTGGCTTCCTGAATCGGACTTCCGTTACTCGGTAATTGGTATCGGTACTCGGTACCAAAATACCGGTATCGGTGCATCCCTAGTGTTCAGCAGAGTTAGATGTGGGCTTAACCTGCAATGTTTAGTTACACGATCTTGAAAGACTTGATTGATCACTATGGTGTGGTACAATGAGATCAGTATGGTGAAAGCTGCACTGTATTATGTAGCCAGGATGAATCATGCATTTGTCATGCCGGCCTGCTATTCTGCCATTTCATTTTAGCCCCACCCCAAACTAAGGCATTACCTAACGTGGATGGGATAGTTGTCTCACACACACTTATGCAGGAAACCTCAGGCAGCTACAAAAAAAACAACAACTTCTTTTTGGACAGATGGGGACTGTCCTGGGAGCCCCCGTCATGAGTACCTCAGGTCCTCTGACCCCGTATGCCGTACTCCATGCCGAGGGAGGCCCCTGCTCACTAGCACGAAGGCCTAGCTAAAACAACAAATGTTACAATGTCCTGCTGGGCCGGAGGAAACACAAAATAGCTGAGGGATGAAAGGCATGTGATCCTTTTTTTTTTTTTAATTAGGTGTGGGTGATAGGCTCCTCCCACCGGAACAGGAAACACATCTCTCTGATGCTGTCCTGCAAGGTGACTAGAGAAATATACAATATTTATCTGTAGCACTGATGGAAGAATTATCTCACTTCCTGTGTAAGCACAGGAAGTGAAGGGTAAACTCTCCAACAGGGACACAGATGAAAGTTAAAAAAAAAGACAAAAGGCTCCACCTCTTCTATATACAAAACAGACAGAGCATTAAAAAAAAGAATTGGGTGGAATTTGGGCTATCTGCATAACCAATCACAGGAAGAAATGGCCAATGGCAGCTCATCATTAGACAGACTGGATATTTTGTAGAGAAAATACAGAGTTTGTAACTCTTCTCTCCCACACAGGATTATGGGACTGTACGTCTCAATTGTCCTCGTCATCGGGAAGTTTGTTCGCGGCTTCTTCAGCGAGGTCTCCCATTCCATCATGTTTGAAGAGCTGCCTTGCGTCGACAATATTCTCAAGCTGTGCCAGGACATCTATGTGGTGCGTGAGCGCGGCGAGCTGGAGCTGGAGGAAGAGCTATACGCCAAGCTGATCTTCCTGTATAGATCACCAGAGACTATGATAAAATGGACAGTGGAGAAGGACTAAGATGGTGATGCGAAGTAAGTTACAGAGCAATAACTGTGCTGGATATGAAATGCTGGAGCTGCCTGAAGGTCAGAGCAAGTGACATGAAGTTATGTTAGGATTTCACATCCTCCAGGATAGAAATGATTTATGTGATGTGGATAGGATGAAGACACTACCGCGCCGTGGTAGGGAACGCTACGAGTGAAGCTGTGGTGAAACATCTCCTCAGCACTGACGCAGGTATCCGTGTCTGAAATGTAAAGCCTTCACCAGACGAGTACTGGAGCCAACTAGAGACCTTTCTCTTAAAGATCTCCCAGAATCCTCTCTACAATGCTGCTCAACCCAAAAACTCTGACAAAGTCTTAACCTTCTCAAAGAGAACTATGCTGAAGCGATGACCCGTGTGCACATTGTTCTTTTTATTTTAAAGAAAGTCAAAGTTTGGAACTTTCCGAGCGGAGATCAAAAGATTTCTATTTATATACTGTTACAATGGTGACGTTCAAAGACTGGAAGATGCCTTGGTGTGCAAAGTGCTGTACACTATGTAGAGATTGTGGATGACCAATCATACTTCTCCAAAACTGTACCAGAGACAGTCTTCTGATGTGCAATAACACAGTGGAGGAAGTGCACCTACCAAGGCTTCTACTTTCTGTACAAAACCAAAAAAAGTAGAATTTTCAAAAAGCAATTGTTTTTTTACTATTAAAATGGCATCTGTGAAAGAAAACCTTTGCCGGGTGTTTATTTTCTGCTAGCTCAGTATCGATGATTATAGTGAATTAAGTATTTCTATCGCTCACCTCTCCTTCTGAAAATTCTAAATTCCTTTGTCTGTCTTGCTGATATACACACTGCCCAGAAATCTGCACTCATTCATATAAAACGGAGAACGTACAAACTGTCCTATCCCGTGAATGTCAAAATCAGAGACACGTATACAGATCTAAAATAACTTTATTCTGGTACAGAACGTGATAAAAGTTTACAGTTTATAAATAAAATCCAATTTAAAAATGTGACTTTTAATACAAATGGAGGAAAAGCGTTTCCAGACTCGCGGGGTTCGCGTCATCACATAAGATGTTGAGAGACTGAAGGACATCAAACTTCTCCAGGATCTTCTTCCAGCAAAAACTCTTCTATCGCTTTCCTCATCTCCACTCTGAACACAAAAGGTGGAAAAAAAAAAGGTTTTTGTACTAAAAGCATTTAGATTATTAAAATGCATACATCCTATAAATCAGTAGAGCTCAGGGCAGCATTGCCTCATTATTCTGAGAGGAAATGACTACATGGTTCCCCGTCTACAAAGGGGGGAGGGGAATCAAGCCAATCGAATCTGCAGGGGCTGTTTTGTTTCTGGTAAACTTGCAGTTATGTAGGAGGTTCAACAAAAAGAAAAAAAAAAAAAGAGTACTGCTACAAGCTAAGGAAGAAGTAGAACCTGCATATGTAATAAGGAGTACTGGCTGGCTCCTATGGACATCTGTAGTTACAAACTAAACATGGAGGCACGGTTTCCAGCATCCTAAACACACAATAATAAGATTCTCTTTCACGTGTATAAACTGTAGGGCACAGTCCCTCTTTAAATCACTTCTAGATATGTGGTAGTGCTGGAGCAGCACCCCCCAAAAGGAAACCTGTAATGACAATGTAGTGTATGGAACGAGGCTGCTTGCTGCCTCTGTGGTTGCAATGAGGGGGGGAGGAGAATCGCTAAACAGAAGATCAAATCCTGGATGGGTGGTTATCCTCCTTCAGGGCTGAGTGTCAATGTAACCTGTCAATGTAACCTATTTGCAGTGAAGACGGGATCGGAGACAGATC